TATGCTCACGGCTAGTCTAGCGGTGGTGGCTGGCGTGTACACCAGTGTTGCCAGTGCACACTTCTCCGGTCTCCACCCACGGCGGCCTCTCTAGTGATTCCAACAACGCTCACTAGATGGCGCGCCGCCACCCAAGGAGTGGCGGCGCGTCATCTATATAAAGGTTGCCCATCTGTCGGTTCACCCAAGGAGTGCTAAGCAGCGGGGTGAACCGACAGATGATGTTGAAAGAAAATGGGCAACCTTTATAAGCTGAAGAAGGGATGCATCCCTTCTGATCAATGAAAAGATTAGAAGGAAGGGAGCTCAGTGGCTGGCAGAAGTACATAAAAAAGATAGAAAGGCAGCTGCGAAATTTTGGAACCATCTAAACTCCCTAAGAAGTGAGACGAGCCTAGAGCAGAGATTTATAACTACAGCCCAAGGTGCTAGGCTAGAAGGGGACGAAGCTATTGAATATATAAGAACAAAAGTGACAGAAAAATTTCAACAAAGAAGTACTTTATGCAACACAATAGACAAGGACGAATTAAGTGGTGCAATGGCTCCATTTTCACAACAAGAGTGGGAAAGGGCTGAGAAAAGGGTTCCTAGTAGTACATAAACAGGCCCAGATGGCATTCCAATTAGGCTGATAAAGACATTAGGTCCGAAGTCTAAGCAGGCTTTGAGAGAGGCAGTGAGCACAATAATAATCGATGGTGAAGTTCCCGATGAATGGAAACTTAGCAGGATGAACATGATCTATAAGGGAAAGGGGGACAAAGCTGACATAAACAACTACCGTCCTATAACAGTGACATCAGTGGTCTACAGGCTGGCGATGCAGATTATAAAGGAAAGACTGCAGGCGTGTATAGAGAATGAGGGGGTGCTGGGGGAACTGCAGAATGGGTTTCGGAAACACAGGAGGTTGGAAGACAATCTGTTCTCACTGACGCAGTGCATCGAAATAGCAGAAAAAGAACACAGGCCCCTGTGGCTAGCATTTTTGGATATCAAGGGAGCGTACGATAGCGTGGTTCAAGAGGAATTGTGGGGAATACTGGACACACTAGGCGTGGAACATGTAGTCACTAATTTTTTAAAGGGTGTCTCTAAAGGTAACAAGGTAGTTATAAAGTGGGAAAAACAGGTATCCAAGCCTGCAGAGGTAAAACGGGGGCTTAGGCAGGGGTGCCCCCTGTCACCCTTATTATTCATGATGTACCTACAAGGATTAGAGGCAAAATTAGAGGGAAGTGGACTGGGCTTCAACCTCTCTTTAGTCAAACAAGAAAAACTTATTGATCAGGCACTACCAGCATTAATGTACGCAGATGATATAGTGCTAATGGCCAACAACAAGGAAGATTTGCAGAGATTGATGGACATCTGCGGTAATGAGGGAGATAGGTTAGATTTTAGATTCAGTAAGAAAAAATCAGCAGTCATGATTTTCAATGACAACGAAGGTAGTGAGCTTAGAATACAGGAGGTCACGCTAGAGATAACAGATAAATACAAATATCTGGGCGTATGGATAAGCAATGGGACCGAGTATCTGAGGGAACACGAAATATACGTGACGACTAAAGGTAACAGGAATGCAGCAGTCATGAAAAATAGGGCACTGTGGAATTACAATAGGTGTGATGTTGTGAGAGGAATATGGAAAGGGGTCATGGTTCCTGGGCTGACGTTCGGCAATGCGGTCTTGTGCATGAGATCAGAAGTTCAAGCAAGATTAGAAATTAAGCAACGTGGAATAGGTAGGCTTGCTTTATGAGCTCACGGGAATACACCAAATCAGAGAGTACAAGGTGATATGGGATGGACATCATTTGAGGGCAGGGAAGCTAGCAGCAAGATAAAGTTTGAGAAGCGATTGAGAGAAATGGGGGAAGAGCGTTGGGCTAGGAAGGTTTTCAGCTACTTGTACATGAAGAATGTCGATACAGAATGGAGGAAGCGAACCAGGAAGTTGACTGGTAAATACTTAGTAAACAGCAGGTGGCCAAACCAAAAAGAACTATCGGTTAGGAAGAAAGTGAATGAAACGGAGACTGACATGTGGAGAATGGGCATGATAAAGAAGTCCGCACTAGAGATCTATCGAACGTTTAAGCAGGGAATTGCCAAGGAAAGGATCTATGATAATACTCGGGGTAGTTCTCTACTGTTTGAGGCCAGAACGGGAGTACTGCGAACCAAGACATATCGGGCCAAATACGAAGGGGTAGACACAGTATGCAGTGCGTGTGGAGAGGAAGAAGAAACTGCCGAACACTTGATAATGTTCTGTAAAGGGCTTCACCCTATAGTTCAGGATGATGGCGCAGAGTTTTTCAAAGCACTGGGGTTTACGGACCGGGAGGGCAAAATAAACTTTAAGCGGGTAGACTTAACTAGAAGGAGGTTATCTGATTGGTGGCTAAAGTCAAGGCACGAGTGAAAATTAAACTCTTCACTGCAAAGTACGAATCCTCAAACTCTTTTTTTAAGAAAAAAAAATATAGTTTCTGGTTCATTAGGTATTACGGCTTGGTGGCGCTAGCCACCGCCCGATCTAAAGGGTACAGCCATATCCATCCATCCATCCATCCATCCATCCAGTGAATTTTCGATGACACGCGTGCTCAGCTCCTCCAGGCTACGTCCACTGTGTTCTCGTTGCATCGTAGGCACGGCAGCACGTGACAAGCTCTTACGATAACGAACGGGTACTTCTATCCTCCCATGCCCTCTGACCTGCGTGCTCTCAACCGCGTTGAAGAACGCCTGATAGCTCCACGTCTGCCATTTACGAGCGTTAGGCATTTGTCCCGCGGCAGCGGCTAGTATGGCATAAAGGGGTAGATGGTTAAGGTGCCGATCAACGTGGAGTGTAATCACTGTGCAGTGCTGGCCTCGGAACGTGCCCCACAACGCTGCCTTCGACGAACGCGCATTCTTACTGAAGAGCTCTCGCCAAGAAACGCCCCATGCACCTCCGACCAAGCGCCTCTAGCGTCAGTCACTTCGCGGATGTGGTGGTGATTTTTTTTTTGCGTTTCCTAATACCGTGGAACCTCATCAACTCCACCACTTTGCCGGTCGTGTTTTGATTAAACATGTGTGAACGATGTGTGAACGCTTCGTAATAGGTGAAATAATAAAACACCGACTCATTGTACAACGCATATGTTTTGAAGCTTGGCGCAATTCTACATACGGTTTTATCACGGGATGTCACACGCATTAAGAGACCCCCCCCCCCCCCCCCCCTTCCCACTGCATGACATTTATGTAGTGTTACTTTTTACTGGAACATTATCAAGCCATGGCATGGCTCTTCAGTACAACGCTTGTGTACAACGCAGATGAGCAGTGTTCGATTTTCACTCACGCTGAACATTTCGAGATTTAGTTTACTAGCATCTTTTTCCATTGCTCGCTCACGGATATCACTCGTTTTTCGCTCACAAGTAACGACGCCAGCACTGATACCGGAGTGCTTGCGAAACGAATTGACACTATGCCATCGACATGAAAAGCAAAATACTTGTTAAGAGATATATAAGCGGTAGTGTATATATTTCCGTTGGTATAGTGTATACCTTCTCAGGAACGTTCTTGGCAGGGGCGTGCGCCCGACGTTTTTAGTCTTGCTTCTAGTTTGTCAGCGTCTGAAATGGGCACACGGAAGCCACATTTCGAGACCATCAAAATTCGTGTGAGCCTTGAATTTTCAAAGTCAGAGCGTTCGCAAAACAGCGGTTGTATATTAGAACAATACAAAATATTTCAATGAATCCTTCATGGATCTTCTCCTTTTACATTTGTTTTGTACGACCAGAACAACACGTTCACTTTGTTCTTGAATACTTGTATTCTTCAGGCATCGGGGTTCAGCACAGCGTGCAAGACCAACTGGTAAGACATTCGGCTTCACAGAGTACAGTACTAGGTTCGAAATCTTGCACCTCCAAGAAAACTTATATTTTCTTTAATACAGTTACCTCTTTAAAATGATCTGTCTTACGTGAAGGAGAGACGTACGAATGGTTTGCTCAGGTAGTCGACAATGAAATGCTTATACACTTGAACCACCCAACAGAACACAGGCACAAATTGATATCCGCAGCTTACTCAATCGCAACCTTCTTCCAAAGTAGCCCCGCCACGGTGGTCTTGCTGGTAAGGTACTCGGCTGCCGACCCGTAGGTCACGGGATCATATCCCGGCTTTGGCGGCTACATTTTCTATGGAGGCGAAAATGCTGTAGGCCTGTGCTCAGATCCGGGAGCAGGTGGTCAAAATTTCCGGAGCCCTTCACTACGGCGTTTCTCATAATGATATGGTGGTTTTGGGACGTTAAACCCCACATATCAATCAATCAATTCTTCAAAAGCGCATGCGTAATACATTGCGTCTTCACAGCATACCATACTTTCTGCCCAGTGGCATAGCCAGAAACGTCTTTCGGAGGGGGGGGGGGGGTACTCAGTCACCACTTATGCATAGTCGTGCGTGAGTTTGTATGTCTGCGTGTGTATATACGCAATTAAAACGGAGAAATTACAGGAGGGTGGCGGCGGAGCTGTGGCTCTGGCTTATCTGTGGTGTTCGTCTACGCTCACAACCACTGGACGGTTTTTCGTTACGGGAGTTACTTTTACTTTGCAGAGCACTGGAGCATTTAACATAGTGTTCTATGCTGCTGCACTGTTGGAGAAATGCATGGGTGGCAAGGTCTTAGTCAGGCACACAATGTTCTGCCTTTTGCCTTGCCATCTAAGACTCACTACGTGTCTGAAATAAATCGCTTATTATTGTTATATAGCATAAGACTTGTTTTACACATTCAGTGGACCACGAAGCCATCACCCACAACATGCACACATTAGACCGACTTCACATACGTTTCCAGCGCCAGGAGTACCCTATATTGTTAGCAACTTCGAACTAAAACGACAGCGTTGACGTGTGTGCCGTTGATAGTTGTTGCTCGAAGTCTGTCAGAAACACATAATACTCACGTCTACCCTGATGCCATCAACGGGAAAAAATTGCCCGGGTGGTCGGTCGGAAGGCACAAATCGGAAGAACTCGACGTCATCCCGGTACCACTTTACCGAATAGAGGACGTCTCCTTCGAGGTCGTAGGCGCACCTTAGCCGGGCCTCCGTGCCCACAACCACCGTCTGGGGCACCTCCAGCGATAAGATCCGGATACACCGCACTCCTGCCGAAAAAACAAAAAGAACCAACAGCAGGTCACGAACTGTCTACTGCAATGTCTACAGCAATGCCTAGGCTCGAGCTGCAACAGAAAATAACCAATTAATACCAGTTTTCTACTGTGGCCTTAAATAGAGACCATATTTTCTGCACCCTTGCGCTTTCAACGACCATTCGTTTCTTTCCCTGTTTATGCCACCTTTTTATGAGGCCAGATCAGCTGCGGGTTCGGACAGCAAAAGAGGACACACTGCTACCATCATTGTCAGCCCGACTGCGTTTCCTGCAGGGCTTTCTGCTTCACTATCGTGCACTATGATTGTCTTAGAATATAGTCTGTTAGTCTTAATGACTATCAGTTACTTGGACTTTTCGCAACGTGCCCTTCTGACGTCCAGTTGTTCTAGATAACGACTAAGGTGTCCATAATATGCGTTTTCTCCCGGCAAACGGGCGATATGGTAACGTCGAACGCTGTTGCAGTCGCTTGTCTCGGTGCATTTTCTATTGCTCTATCGACGTGGCACGAGCATTCACCGACTTCTACGGGTTTGTCAGTGGGCATGTCCAGGTTTTGGAGAGGAGTTTCACAAGTGGCGTTGATTGATCTGCTCTGCTTTGAACGCCACGCGAGTAGTTCCTGCCGAAGTTGTACATAAGATGTTACGCGTAATCGATTACATTTAATCAATCACAATTTCTATAATTTTGCCATATAATTGATCACTTTTTCAAAACTGTAAATTTCTGAGTGTTTCAATTACATTACTTGTAATTGCTTTTAAGCAATGAGTTACATTAATTTTTTTAACAAAGTAATAAGTGGCCAGTAATCATTTTTTTTTAAGTTGTAACTTGCCTTATATAGCCGTTCTCGTCGCAAAAAATATGCCTCCACTCTACAGGGAAGCCCTATGCTTTTCCTTAACCATACTTGCAACGCCTAACCCTAGCACCGGCAACAGCGAAGCGCGATGCTTTCAGAGGACGGGAACGCTAGCATCGAAGCACTGTGCAACGACGAACTGGTGCGAAAGGTGTACCCACGTTATGGAATGGCCTTTCCATCCAACGCATGCATTAAGAGTGTTCAGCGTAGCAGCTGACTGCTTGGCGAGGAAACGTGGAATATTCGGTGACGACAACATATCACACAATGTGACAGTGAGGAAAAAAAAAACCCTCTAAGAGGACGTCCTTACGTTTTCGAAAGAAAATTTCACCAGAGAACAGCTGCAGCTGTTCTTAAAGTGACACAAGTACCAGAGATATAGTTTCTGTAAAAATAATTTTACAAAATAGGAAAGCGCATAATAGTTCGCGCTGATGGTGGACCTATTATGGTTTTCGGCAACTGACCAAAAGGTCGTGGGTTCGAAACCGGTCTTGGCAGTTGTATTTCGATGGGGCGAAGTGCTAAAGGTCCGTATACTGTGCGATGTCAGTGCCCATCACGAACTTCCCGAGCCCTTCGCTACGATGTGCCTTCTATTCATGTTGTGATTTTGGTCCGTAAGGCCTCATGTATTATAACTAAGTACACAGAAGCAGATTAAGAAGATTAGGAAGATTAAGATGAGATTAAGAAGTTTGCGGGTATAAATTGGCAGCAGCAAGCACAGGACCGGGTTAACTGGCAGAACATGGGAGTGGCCTTTGTCCTGCAGTGGGCGTAGTCAGGCTGATGATGATGATGATGATGATGATGATGATGATGATGATGATGAAACAGAAGCACCCGTGCAGTTTTCGTTTGCATGACGCTTGGGAAGGCGAAATCCTCCGCAACGCCAGCCTGAAGGCACAACCCCGAGTCGTAAAAAGAGTGGAATGAGGTTCCCGTTAGAAACCGCCTGAACGTCACCAACGTCCTTTCTTCACGAAAAATTAATTTTACTAAATAAAATTCTGCCTCTCTTTTACTCTCTCTTTCTCAATAAATATGAAACGTCATTTTAACCGGGGAAACATAAACGCTCACTTCGTAACCTGTATGCTTATCCGCGAAATTAATGATCACCAGAATTTATTTTTTTAGCAGCCAGCCTTGTAGAGTGACATTTGGCCTAAGTTTGGGCAGTTACTTAAAGCCATAAAGTTCGGCGCTTACCGGCAGCACCTGCTAGTTATCGTACAGTTAAACTAAACGTCAAACTCCATAAACCACCCAAAAACACCGAAAAACATGATAAGCTGGCTTAAATTATTCGGTTGTTCGCTACTGAGTCTATTATTTCTTTCAGCCACATTATACTATCTCAACACGTTGAATGATTCAACAAATTACTAATCTGCTGCACTGCAACCCCCTCTCCCTCCTCCGAATAATTAAAAAAGAATCCGATGTGATCATTCTCTTTGACGTTTTTTTTTCTTCCTTTTGATTGAAAGTCAGGAAGCGCTAACATCAGATGTGAAGTTCCATAGTCTAATATTAGTGGCATGGCTTCCCTTTTCAAATCAGCTAACTTTCTCGCAAAACCTTCAGGCTCACTATACATGATGAATCAGGTATTGCAGAAGCCTAATAGTTCTTTCATTTTTTTCTATATCTCCATGTCTTTTTTTGTGCCTCCTTCTTTTTATTTATTTTCTATGTACTTCTCTACCTTTCGATCTTTTCATGTTTTTGTTTCTTTAATTTGTTTTCCTTTTTCTATTTATTCATTTCTGTCGCACTATACACGTTTCTCCCTTTCATTTGTTTCACGGGCTACAACTCACCGAGCAGAGTGTTCGTTTAACGTGTGCAATAGGTCTTGTCCTATTCCTGTGGCGCATTCCCACTTATGATTTTCTGCCCACACCAATGTTTTTACGGCCGGATTAAGCAGATCCGCTGTTAAAACCTACCAGCTTCCTCTTGACTGCCATCAGAAAAATACTGGAAAAACGGAACAGCATTGAGTGTTGTGCAATGCAGGCATTGGTTCATGCACCACCTCCGCCTTTAATGAAACTGTTGAGATGAAGTTTCGCCATCGAACTGAACAAACGAAACCATTACCATACAGTATTCACAACATGTCTCCTCATAGAAGACTTACCTATCTGCGAATGCCATTTCAAACTTTTCGCACCTTACGTCAAGTTTAGAAGGAACTGCGAAAGCTTAGTAGAGGAGCACCAATTTTTTCGTGCGCAATACAAATAAATATTCATTCACACTACATTGATTCAAAAGCGGGGGCATGTACTCAATTACGCTTCAAAAATATTCTGATTAGACTGAATTAAAAAAAAAACAGCAAGCGAAAGTATGGTTCTTTACCTTCCACTAGGCGTCCTCGTTACACCGCGCTTAATTCGTAGTTGGTTTTCTTGCGGCACGGAGATGCTCGTCTCATGCGTTCTTGAAATACTTATTCATACTCGGAATTTTTTGGCGTAAACATTGCTAGGATGTCCCACTAGAAAAATGAAGCAAAGGTTTCTCGTAAGACGGACAATTGTCTTTCGTTGGCGGATTGCACTTGGTTCTTTTATATGTTTTTGTTGTCTATCTGTTGGGTTGAACTTGCCAGTAGGGCCGGAGAGACGCACAAATGTATGCGCAAGAGAGAAATCTTCAAAACGTCGACCTCTTCGTTTTTATTGGGCATGTACTTAATCACGCCTCTCGAGTGCATTGAAAGAGCAGAAACGTTCTATACTTCGCGAAACTTGTGCAATGGTAGCGAACGAAACAGTGGCGTCCAGTGTGACGGACAATCGATTAATCAATATTGGATCTGAATGTGACTCATGTATTATGTTGCGATGTATTCTAACATACGTTTACAATCATATCGCGCATCCCATTCCCCGCATATTTTTGTTTTGGTCACCAAGGAGTACAGAAGAGATAAATAACAATAAAATAAGGCCGGTCAAAGGGGTGGGGGGCTGCCGAGCGTCGATGGCTCTTCGATCGGCTTCCAGTGCTTCGAGAAGAATGAGAAGAGAAAGGAATAACGAATGAATCGCTTGTAGCGGGCGGGGGCTTCGGCATAATTGATAATGAGGGCGCACGAAGGAGAGCGTTCGCTTCTGGTAGGATCAGCACAATGTCTGACACCCTTATCGATGTTATTTTCGCGCTTACACAGGGAGGAGTGTGAGTAAAGTAAGGACCATATCACCCGGCACCTTAATGTATTCGTATTATGCGAGGGAAATATCAGCGTTCGTATGAACTAACTGTAATTAGGCTCATATTGCTTAGCGGAAAGAAATGATTATCGTTCTACTGTCATATTTTTTCCCGAACCCCTTTTTTCTGTTTATTCGCTTAGCTCTAAAGCATTGTCACAGACGTCACGTCACTTGCCAGGAGCAGTAGTTCTTTAGGGGAGGGAAGACGCCTATTTCTACTACTCATGAAGTAGCAGTGGCCAAAGAAAAGGGGCCGAATGTAGAGTGGGGCAAGGAGAGACCAACTTCTCGATCACAGATTTTTATAACGGCACACCAGTGACATATGGCGCTTGTACCTATGGGAACTTCAGTCAGAATGGCAATGATGGATAGTAACATGCGCGTTACTATCCATCACGTGTTTATCTAACGTGTTTACACAGGGTAAATATTAAAAAAAGCACACTCACTTCATCACCTTGAGCCCTTTTACGTTCAACGATTCAAATTGGTTCACAAGGATTCGTAGGTAGCCATTATTTTATCCGAAACAAAAAGCCAAAAGAAAGCAATAAAGGAAGCCACGACCATGAAGTCTAGTCAGAGCTACGTACCAGCCAATTATTCCCATGATGGCTGAATAATCACAGCTCCATACTGCCCTCATAGTAAATATTGTAGAAAATTCTATACCCACAACGTCGAGCGCCAGGGAAGATTACCCGTTTGCCCATTAGAAAAAAAAAAGGCAGCATATTCACGGAATGAATGATGGAGAGTGAGGTGAAGCCTCCGTCTGTCCATTCGGTCTTGCTTCTGTCCGTCCATGCGTCCGTCTGTGTAACCGTCAGTGCTTCCATCCGCTCGTCCGTGCATACGTCTGTTCGTGCGTCCGCACGTTCATCTGTGCGTTCGTCCCTGCGTTCGTTAATGCACCACCCTTGCGTCCGTCCATGCGTCCATCCGTCCATGCAGCCATCCGTGCGTTCGTCCGTGCATCTGTCTGTGTGTCCGTTCGTCCATCTAGTCAACACTCTAAGTACCACCATCTGGCTACTATTCATCATATATTCCGCATATAGAAGCACCGCCGTCCAGAGGACATTCCAAGGACTAAACTAGAGGTGGCACACGCACACTTTCTTACGGCTTGCGCTTTGTGTCAACTTCCCACCTTTAACCACCTCGAGTTCATGGTATATACTAGTTCACCGTATTCATGGCACTGGGCTCAACGCTCGCTAAACCTTTCTAAAGCCAAGAAGGTTACGCCCAGCGAGGATAACCTAGCAACCGTTTCTTGTCAGATAGTGCTTAATGTACACGCCAATGGCTGCTAATTGGGAATGAGAGACAGGAGAATTCCGCTTTTAGTTAACGCGCACGCTGCGAATTTTTATTGTTCAACAACGCACAGGAGAAATCTCCCACCGTTACCACCCTGCAGGTCAAAGCGTAAGACTGGTTTAGCACTTGACTACGACGAGGGATGAACGGGTGCCGCTTCAAGGAGCTTCACCCTTAAAAACGGTAGGTGGTCGGTGGAGCTGAAAATCAAACAGAGTATTTCCCACTTTGGAGATAAACGCTCTTACCGCTCGACCAGCGCAGCACTCGTCCCCAGCCCAGCGAATCAGTACCCAAAAACTCTCACCAGATATACTTGATACACTCAAAATAGAGTTCAGAAGTGGACAAAAACAAATGACAGAAAGTTTACCAAGGTCGTGCTTGGTTTGTGACTCCTTTACTCTGAGAGGGGTACCCAAGCATTATAAAAGTGAAAAAAAAAAGACAGGAGTGATACTCACGCGCACAGTAATAGACCCTCTCGTAGTTGCGCATGGTCACAGAGTCGCATCAAACTATTTGTTGCGTTCCCAACAGTAGCGTACCAGAGAATTTTATCGAGAAGGGGGTGGAGAGGTTCAACGCCTACTTATGAAAGTTCGTGCGTGTGTATGTATGTGTGCGTATATATATACACGCATGAAATGGAAAAATAGCGTGAGTGGGGGAAGGAGGAGATGTTGGCCCCCCCTCACTGCTGTACTGGTTTCGCCAGTGCTGCACAATGATGGCGCTTCAGTACGATATGAAGTTGAAGCCCGAATTAAACGGAGTGGCGTCTGCAAAGGTGAAGCTGTGGATGCGGTGCTGAAGGTCGCAGGTTCGATACCGGCCGTGGCAGTCGCATTTTGATGGGATCGAATTGCCAAAGACCAGTGTGCTGTGCGATGCGAGTGCACGTTGAAAACAACAACAACAACAACAACAACAACACAACAACAACAACAACAACAACAACAACAACAAAAGAACAGATGGTTGAAGTTTCCGAAGCCGTCTACTACGGCATCGGCATGTTCATATCGTGGTTTTGAGTGTGCAAGATTTCAGATAATATCAATAATTTTATTAAAACCAAGCGGACAGGAAATGACTACGGAAAATGCTGCATAATAACAAGTAGCCATTCACTTTTTTTTTTCACTCTTGATTGACCGAGTAAAAATTATAGCTTGTTAACGTGCAATAAAAGGCAGCCTACTACTAATCTCGCATTCATTTCCGAGTGGAAAGTGGCCCTGGCGACTTAGCTTCGGATTATGTTCGGCCTCATAACTTTAAACCTTGCTATTTATTTATAATCAAAATTGATGCTTAGGATTTGGCATCTCTAAACAGAGCTATGATTAAAAGGGACGGCATAGTAGAGAGCTCCGTAAATTTCACCACCTGGGGTTCTTTAAGATGCACTTAAATTTATATACACAGGCGCCTAGCACTACACCTCCATCGAAATTTGGCCGTTGCCGCCAGGATTCAATCTTTCGCCCTTGGGGTCAGCAGTCCAGTATCATACCTACAAGACATCCACGGCGGGTTCCGCTATTTCTTTAAATCAATTTTCCCAAAGTAAGGTTAGCAAAGCTCACTTTTTCTAACTCGTTTCCCCTCCTCGACTCGCTTTAATAGTTCCTTCATTGGCGTTTTATCTTCCAGCCCTCAACCTCCTGCTCAGCAGCTGAATGCGACAGCCAATGAGCCAGCGCTTCATATCCTTCAAATTGAATGTCCCTAAACAAGTAAAGGTGTAGTGAACCTTGCTCGCTTACGAAAGCATTCTTCACGTGGCGACATTTCTAATCGACACACACACACACACACACACACACACACACACACACACACACACACACACACACCACACACACACACACACACACACACACACACACACACACGCACACACACACACACACACACACACACACACACACACACACACACACACACGTGCGCGCGCGCGCGCGCGCGCGAAGATCACTGGACATCGTTTAGTGATAGGCGTGGTGCGATTTGCGCTGCCGGAGGATAAGACCACGATGAAAATGACGTTAGTTCGTCGCTTGCCAGGAGGCGCTCGCCGGTTCACTCTTCCGTTGCCAGGAAACGCCATCTTTAAGGCGCTATTATGATTTTTTTCTCCCTCTTTTTATTGAATAACAACAGTTCAGTAGTCGCTATATGAACGGGGCCGCCAGTATTATATCACACCCGAGACACCTTCGCAACACTTAGCCCGCTAACGTTTGACGATCTGTATCTTCCATGGATCCTGCCGGATCACTTCTTCTCTCCGAATCTCACAATACGCAGCCCAGAATTGAAGCGATAGAACAGGCGAAAAACTAAACAAAATCTTATATAGATCGACAGCAAAGCTGAAATGGCAGCTGAAATTGTGCTCAGATGTATCTGACCGACGCTTACCGAAAGCCCAACTCTCCTTTTCAGCTTCCAGTCCACCGCCTCCGCTTTCGCAAGGCAAAAAGCATTACTCCCTCTCCTGCCCGCTCCTTCATACACACTCCTCCGCCTACAAATGATCTCTTCCTCACTGTCAGCGTGCCTTCTGGCTGTAACGAAATACAGAATGGCGGGGTACATACAAGTCGAAGCCTAAGCGACTATAGAGATTTGGTGGTGGGAGAATAAGCGATAAATCGGGCCTTATGGACCGCGAAACGCCGTTATTGCGTCCCATTTAGAGCAGTGAGAGTGAAGTCGCAAACGATGCTTGGAAATACGAAGTGCCGAGCGCAGGAAAAAGACATCCGGTGCATCAGTATAGCAGTCATGTCCGCACCAGCCACCGCCGTAGTTCGATGAATACGGCGTTTTACTGCATGCAGTGTGTTACAGGTTGAAATTGCAGCAGTTACAGCTGAATTTAAGAAACGAAACATAAAAAAATATAGTAATATAATAAAGATAGCGGAGTTTGTAGCAAGAGGAGAACGATACAAAGAGGACAGGGAGGTTATCCAGTTCTCAAACTGGCTGGTCACCGTGTGCTGGAGAAAGGGGTAAAATTAAAGATGATTAAAATGATATCTCACAAAAATGAAGAAGAAAGGACCAATAATACAAGAAATAAAGCTGTTTGAAGTCTGTCTATGAAACGAGCTGTCTGGGCAAGAAACGCAACAATGCTCTCAATGCCTTCCGGACCAAGAATGGTCTTGGCCACTCTTATAAGACCCTTTCCTCCGACAAGTTGTGATTTACAAGTCTATGTAACACAGAAGTGTGGCAGTATGGGCTAGTTGATATGACATGACAATAGTTATAGCACGAGAACAGAACGACGACAAAGGGACAAGCGCTCGTCTCCTTCCTGTCCCTTTGTCGTCGTTCTGGTCTCGCGCTGTAACTGTCATCTATGTAACACTTCTAAAGGCGCCTTTTTTTGACAGAGTAAAGCGAGGACACTTACAAAGGTGGAAGATTGCCTCCTCGCAGATGCAGTTGTCATGCGTCGGGCAGCTGTCCATTCCGATTTGTAACGAATAAGCATTCTTGAAGGCCACACCTAACCACAGCGCACAGTTAAACTTAAAATTATGGTATGGGGCTTCGGATGCTTAAGATTGATCTCTAGCCCTTCGCCACGTGACACAAATCGATCCCACGAATGCATTTAAGTTGTTTTAATACCATGTTATTGTCATACTGCTGAAGTCTGGGCATATTCGTAATCACAAGGAATACACAGACGGGATGAAGTACACACACACGCACACGCGTGCCCGAGTTAAAAACAGGGATTTTGCATAGCAGTCAGGCCTTCTGTTTCAGAGCCGCACCCGTACTTCAGACCTCTTCACAGAAGATCCAATGAAGGCATTATGTCAGGAAAATTCCAGTGGTGGTTTGCAGTGTCGATTATGCGATTTTAGAGTGAAGGCCTCATGCACCCGTTTCTGCGTTTACTGACCTCGTCATCACTGTTGCCGTCGCCGTCGGTGGCGCACCCGATAGATATGAAAACGCAATCGATAGACATAAAAAAATGGGAGAAAAAAAACGCAGGATTTAATGGGTGGGCCCTCTGCATGAAAGCCGAGTATTCTACCACAGAGCCCAACTGGTTATTCAAACATGTTTGCAAATAAACGCCATATAGGCGTGATGTCGGGCAAAAAAATCACGTTAATCTATGAACTACCGCGTGGAAGAACAGTAAAGGAAGAACCAATCATCCTACAAGACTAATTGCACAATGAGTCGGTGGTTTAACGCTTGTCACTCACTGAATTGTGATTTGGCATAATTCTTCATTGCTGTAAGCCACATACAACAGGGAAGTGCACATAATATCTAACAGATGTTTAGTGGGTACCTCGCTTAACCGCAGAAATACGAGTAATAGCGTATTGGGTGCGGTCCTGCTCCTTCAAAAAACGTGATTTGTGGCGTAGTCGATAACTTGCGGAAAGTCAACCCTTCAAACACCATTTGCCTTGGCCCAACACGAAGTTGGACTTAGAGCTCGCGTTAGGCAGTATAATAATTGTGGGCGAATCTTTTCATAAGTCTAATAAACATTACATACGTAGAACTATGACTCCACAAACGTTTTTCTATCGTTACGAGAATAAGACTACAACTGTTACTCGTGATATGAACATAGCCACGCCAGGGGCGCAGGAAGAAATTATTTACCGGAGGGGGGGGGAAGGGGGAAGCACCTCTTTGAAATGGTAATTTTTCGTTGTCTGTGTTATGGCAAAAAAAAGTTCGGGTGGTTGAGTGTTCACATGTTTGGTGTGCTACCTCCTTACCTCCTACGCCCCTGTGCGTTGTAGCGCACACTTTTGGCGGTAAAACTTGCGTCTTCATCCTAACATTAGTGCCGACATTACATCTCACGATTAGCAATTCTTCGCACTACAGTGTGTTAAACCTGCCTTGTAAGCTTACAATATGTGCACAACTACTAAACTTGCAAAAGCACGTCGATGCGCCTCATAACTTTCGTGCTCAAAGAGAGAGAGAGAAGGAATGTAGGAAAGGTACGAAGGTATACTAGAGTACGCGTCCAGTTTTCTACCCTACACATGGGCAGGGGGAGGGGGAGTAAAAGAGAGAGAGAAGCATAGACACATGTCACATCACACACACACAATGCCGAGTTTCACAGGCGGTCCCTCAATGAAGTTGCTGACAAGTATCTCAGGAGAGCTCGTGTGGCATTCTGTGCTGATGTGCTGCGCGACCCGGCTCCTAAGATCTTTGCTTCATTAAATGGCCGGTCATCGAGTCTATTCAAGGCACACTGGAGAATCCGGCGATCTTCAGCAAATTGGGCACAGTGGCACAAGAGATGTTCAATAGTCTCTATACAGTTGCAGCTTTCACACATGGATGAATGCGCCATGCCAATGCGATGGCTGAATGACTTAGTAAACGCTACCCAGTCCCACAGCCGGCACAGCATTGTAGCGTCACGTCGAGAAATCTTGGATGGCAGTCGTTTCTGGACCGTAATGACCTTA